ATCCAATTGGATAATGATTCCCATCATTAAATTGTCCACAATGATGACTGTGTTGCTAAGTCTGACTGACACATGGCTTGTTAACATATTAAATAAATGATGAATAACGGGCTGACAAGTAACAAAACACATCAGTTTCTCAACTCTTGCTGGGCTGGTTTGGCTCTCAGGTGATCCAAGGTAGACGTCCTTAGCATCCATTCTCTCTGAACCATTCCTGCAGTACCTACCAGGCTCTCAGACTCACCTGTGTGGGCTCTCAGAGAGGACAGCCTTCTTGAGGAAGGGTGACTTTCTCCCTGAATGGTTGGTGATGGAGACTGAAGCTCTGTCCCCAGACAAGACACAGTGAAAGAATTAAGCATGGTCCCTTAGCCAGATACTTCAAAATCATCAACTATGTCTTGTCCAGTTCAAGGCTATACTCCTTGAGGGAAAATTATAGAGGAAATATTTATAGCTACCTTTATATGTTCCGTAGGTACATTTTTTCCTTATACCTACAATTTCATAGTACTTGATTTCCCTCATGGACTCTAGTCTGAAAAGAAAGAAAAAATTTTTCTACTGATTTGTGTTCTTGAGAGACCATGTTCAAAGTGTGGTGAATCCAGTCATTATTCCACATTTCTCTGTGAACTCTCCTGCCTCCAAAGGTCATTTGCCTTTCACCAACCATGACTTAAAATTTAATTGTCACAGGTCAGTAGGTGGTGTGGAAGTTAAGGTGCTGGATCCCACATGGCTGACTGCACAGATTGAATCTTGGACTCAGTGCCTTGATCATCTCACCAGATATGTATGCTTGAGGGTCCAAAATTCTGAGAGTGACTGGAGGAGAAGGGATTGCAGCATACTCATCCTCCCTGGGGGGGTGAGTTCTCACTTTTCCTTTCTCGCTTTTTCTCTCTATCTCTATCTCTATATCTCTCTCTGGTGAGCACATGTGCTCTACAGCAAAAATCAATATTTTTTAATTGTCACATACTACATGCATATACCTTGAAAAATATTGTACGCCTTACAAATGTACAATGACTGAATATAAATAAGTCATAAAATTTTAAAAATAAACATTTCTCCAAGTCTAACGAAGTAACTTGTCTTTACTAGCCCCTTGGATTTCCAAAGCATAGACTGTGGTGGAGACACAGCTGTTGCTATCTCCAGAACCTGATAGTATGTCCTCCTCACTAAGGGAGAGAACTGTGTTTGCATGCTACACAGCCATGTGTAGTTCTATAATCCTTGGTTTCATAATACTTGTGAAGAAGCATTTGGGAGTTTTATGTTCATGACATGCATGAAGAATTGTCATTTAGCACCCAGAGGTGATGTGGTAGTTAAGGTAAGGGACTCCCATATAGTCCATTGTTGTTTGAGTGCTGGAGCCACTGGGTTGAAGAAAACCATGCCAGGCATGAATGCATGTGTGCCCAAGATCATGGGAGTGGAATGTAGGAAAAGGGATTGTGGTGTGGGCATCCCCCTGGGGTGGGGATTTCCCACATTCCCTCTCACCTTATCTCTCTCTCTCTGTCTCTGTCTCTCTCTCTCTCTCTCGCAAGTACACACACCCTAAGGCAAAAACTGCTATAAAATAGAGAGATAAAGAGAGAGAGAGACTGCTATATCTTAATAATGAGAATAAAATCCAGGCCAGCAGGTGGTGTAAAAATTAAATCACTGTCTACTCGCATGACTGTCTACACAGTTCAAGTTCTGGACCTGGTGCCTTGAAAATCATGCTGAGTGGGGAACCAGCAGTTAGCATAATGGCTATGTTGCTGGACTCCCATGTAGTCGACCGCGGTTCGCGTCCCGGACCCGGTGGCTTAAAACACACCGGGCGCGTGTGCGTGTGTGCCCAAGATCCCAAGAGGAGAATGGAGGAGAAGGGATTGCGACGTGACCATCCCCCCTGGGGGGTGATTTCTTGCTTTCTGTCTCTATGTCTCTCTCTGTCTGTCTGGCGAGCACACGCACCCTATAGTGAAAATCTCTAAAAAAAAAAAGAAGAAAGAAAATCATGCTGGGTGTATATACAGATGTGCCAAAATCCTGAGAAGAGACTAGAGGAGAAGGGAGTGTAGTTGTAGCCAAAACCGTAGAGCCACAAACACAATTACACACTCATTCACCATTCACACAAGAGGCTAAAAACATTCCCTCCCACTGAGAAATATTCCTTAAAATGACAGTAGAGACAGAATGAACTCACAAAAGGGAATCCTTCTACCAGATCCTGAAATAGGAGAAAACATAAAGAGAAGATATTCCTCAATCAGTTCCAGGAAAACCCATCTGCAGACTGAGCAACAATAACTACAGGACTGGGACTAGCAGTTAGCATAATGGCTATGTCGCTAGACTCCCATGTAGCCGACTGCGGTTCAAGTTCCAGACCTGGTGACTTAAACTCACACCAGGCGTGTGTGCATGCGTGCCCAAGATCCCGAGAGGAGAATGGAGGAGAAGGGATTACAGCATGGCCATCCCTCCTGGGGGTGATTTCTCGCTTTCTATCTCTCTCTGTCTTTCTGGCGAGTGCACACACCCTATAGTAAAAACATTTCCAAAAAAAGAAAAAAGAAAATAACTACAGGACCTAATGCCCACTATCCCTTGGTCAGTTCCAGGTAAACCAGTCTGGAGACTGAGTAACAAGAGCAACTGAGTGCAATGCCTCAATTGCTAGGTAGCCCATCTAACAATTGATTCCACCAATGTCTTGGTGGAATCCAAGTAGAGGTTCCTCTAATTGCATCTAGATGGCCCTGGAATTCCCATTAGGGGCAACTTCCCTTGCCAACCCCATACTCACCACTTGACCAGTCCCAAAGAAGAAACAAAGAGACAATATCACAGGAAGATGCCTCTGGAAGTCTTTTCTGATTTCGCTAGAACTCCACAATTTTTGAAGAAGCAGTCAGCACCTCCAGCCTAGCTGTTAATAATCAAAAAGGTGGCTCTGGGGCCCTGGAAAGTCCCAGGTGGTGCCTCCCCTAGAATATCTTCAGGTATTTGGCAGCTGACCCAAGTGAGGCTGCACTCCTTGGATGCCTCACCCAAGTACCGATAGATATAATCTCACTGGAGCCTCCAAACTTTGTAGTCAAATCAGCAAGAAATTAGAGGACATCCAGTCATGACCAAATTATTGGAGTTTTATTGCTGGCAGCTGTGGAAGGACTCATGTCTCTCAAAGACCCCACAGCCCTGAGTGAAAGGAGAAGGATGTTTATAAAGGCAAAAATCACAAGCATTTCTTGTTTGACATGGTGATTACAGTGGAAAATGAGGGGGGTAGTGTAGAGGAAAGGGAGTTGGGTTCCTATGCAAAAGCAGTTACAGGGACCAGCACTTAGCGTAATGGCTATGTCACTGGATTCCCACATAGTCGACCGCAGTTCGCATCCCGGACCCGGTAGCTTAAAACTCACGCCGGGCGCGTGTACTTGTGTGCCCAAGATACCGAGAAGAGAATGGAGGAGAAGGGATTGCAGCGTGGCCATCCCCCCTAGGGGGTGATTTCTCGCTTTCTGTCTCTCTGTCTCTGTCTGTCTGGTGAGCGCATGCTGCCTATAGCAAAAACCTCTCCAAAAAAAAAAAAGGAAAAAAAGAAAGCTAGTACAGAAGTTACAGAAGCAGGTTAATCATTTCTTTTTTTAATTTATTTATGCTCATCATAATCTTGTTTATATTACATTGAATCACATATAACTTTACAGTGTATTACATTTCTTCTTCCAGAAGGAATACCATAATAAGCAGGTTAATAATTTCTAAGGGCACTCTCCAGACCTTAGTTTAATGGTCCCCATGGCTCCAGGTGGGGGTCTGGTGATTGGAGATTACATTGCTAAGGAACATCTAAAAAAAAAAAGATTTCAGGCTAGTTAACAAAGACAGTAAGACTGTTTTATTATTTTTTCTTTTTTTTACAGAGGTTTTTTTGTTATAGGGTGCGTGCACTCGCCAGATAGATAGAGAGAGACAGAGAGACAGAAAACATCCCCAGGGGGGATGGCCACCCTGCATTGCCTTCTATTCCATTCTCCTCTTAGGATCTTGGACATGCAGGCATATGCGCCCAGTGTGAGTTTAAGCCACCTGGTCCGGGACTCAAACTGCGGTCGACTACATGGGAGTCCAGCGACATAGCCATTACAACAACTGCTGGTCCCAAATACAGTAATACTGTTAATCACTCTGTTTACTCTGGGCAAAGGAGGAAGCAAGCATAACGTGAAGTTCAAAGATGGAGGTGCTTCTTCAGAAGGAGAAAAGAGAAGAAAAGATTAACAGACAAATGATTGTAAAGTCCTCTGTTTAAAAAAATTTTGTATTTATTTATTTCTAAAAACTTTTAAAACTTTTGACCAGTTACAAAGCACACTAGATACCAAAGTCCACATTATCAATAAGAACAGTTAAAATCCTAATATGTGATGAAAAAATGGACCCAAAAGTGAAAAACTGTACTCTCAAATATTTTTCTCCCTTAAAGTATTTCAATGGTTTTACTTTCTGCACGGTTTTGTTTTGTTTTGTTTTGTTTTTCCTGAAAGGAGTACAACTCAGTACTGCTGCTTCAGTAAAACAAACTAAATATTATTCACAATGACTTAAGCCATGTGAGAAGAAATTATTCCTACAAACATACACTATCCCATGCATTGAGTGAGAATTTCCTAATAAATTTGATGTGAGGTTGGAAATAATTTTGGTAAAGTGGGAAAATGACAACAGGAAATCGGTTGACTATCAGAGAGAACAGAAATCTTAATTTAAAGGCTAACTAAAATTATACAAAGAGATTGAAATAAAAAGAATGGAAACTGCAGGAACTCCTAGGAGGATGAAGTTCTACTAGCTTGGAAGTATTGATGCCTGCAAACAGAGCAGCTTATTCTGTCCCAGAAAAATTGCATTTTTTATACCTTCCCCCCAAGTAGTATTTGCAGGGCCTTCTTTATGTCTTTATTCCTCAGACTGTAGATAAAGGGGTTCAGCATGGGGGTGATCACAGTGTACATCACTGAAGCTCTTGCACTTGAGTATGAGCTGTGGGTAGCAGCAGAGCTAAGGTACACACCCAGGCCTGTGCAATAAAATAAGGAGACAACTGAGAGGTGAGAGGCACAGGTGGAAAATGCTTTGTGCTTGCCCTGAGCTGATGAGATTGCACGAATGGAGGAAACTATCTTAGAGTAAGAATAAAGAATCCCAGAAAGAGGACCACCACCCAGCAGCACAGATGTAAAATCCATCACCATGTCATTAATAAAGGTGTCAGAGCAGGCAAGATGGACCAGCTTACTAAGATCACAGTAGAAGTGAGGGATTTCCACACGTATACAGAAGGACAGTTGCAATGCCATTAGGCTCTGTAATAATGCATACAGGGCACCTATAATCCAGGATGCCAGAACCAGTTGTCCACAGAGCCAGAGGTTCATGATGATAGAGTAGTGCAGGGGGTGACAGATGGCCACATACCGGTCAAAGGCCATCACTGTCAGGAGGAAGTCATCCAACACTATAAAGAAATGGAAAAAGAACACCTGGGTGATGCAGCCTGCATGGGTGATGACCTTGCTCTGTGTCTGGATGTTCACCAGCAGCTTTGGGACGGTGGTGGAGGTGAGACAGATGTCTACGAAGGAGAGGATGGAGAGGAAGAAGTACATGGGGGTGTGCAGGTGGGAGTCTGAGATGGTGGCCAGGATGATGAGTAGGTTTCCACACACAGAGATCAGGTACATGGAGAGGAAAAGCCCAAATAGGAAGGGCTGCAATATTGATTCTTCTGTAAGTCCCAGGAGAAGAAATTGTAAAATTTGTGTATCATTTCCTGGTTCCATTTCCTGGTGACTCCATGAAAAGAGGAAAATAAAATGACTAACTTCACATGAACAGGTATTACTCACATAGTTGAAATGTCCTAGTTAGTATGTTTTAGTCTCAAGGTTATTGTCTATATTTTTGTATGGATCTAATCCCCTCTAGGCTTTCATAGTGGCATCTCTGCTTAGGACTTCCTATCTCACTTCTTTGTTCCAGTAGATCATGTATTCTACAGAATTCACTTCCTTATTTAGTCACAAATGATCATTGTATCCATTTATGGAATTTAATGTGATTTTTCAAATAGTTTTTTTTATTTTTAATTTTTGTCATAGGGCACATGCACTCACCAGACAAACAGAGAGAGAGAGCAAGCAAAGGAAAGTGAGAACTCACCTAACAGAAAGAACAACCATGCCACAATCCCCTTTTCTTTCATGATGTTGGGCGTGTATGTACACATGTCTGACATGTTTTCCAAGGCATCAATTCAAAAATTCCTTAAGAGACCTGAAAGTCATTGCACATCTCATCACAACTCTGATTCCACTTTTCCTACTTTTTGAACTGCACATTTCTGTGGACACTTTTTACTTTGACTGAAATCATTTATTGCTCCCATTCGATCTTCACCCTGATCCAACTGGATGTCTATTCCCATCGCTAAATTTCCACAATGGTGCTTGCATTGCTAAGTCTGACAGACACATGGCTTGTTGACATATTAAATAAATTACTGAGAAATAACTTGGTCAGACAAGTAACTAAATGCATCAATCTCATGGATTTTGCTAGGCTGGTTTGGCTCCCAGGTGACCTCAGGTACATGTCCATGGCATCAAATCTCGCTAAACTATTCCTGCAGTACCTACCACTCCCCCAGACTCACCTGTGTGGCATTTCAGAGAGGACAGTCTTCTTGTGGAAGGATAAATTTTGCCCTGGATAGTTGATGATGGAGATTGAAGATTTGTCCCCAGACAAGACACAATGAATTAAGCATGGTCTCCTGACCAGACTGGAGATTCAGAAAACATCAACTATGTCTTGTTCAGCCCAATGCTGTACTCCTTGAGGGTCAATGATGAAATATGTACAGTTCCTTACACCCACTCATTAAGTACATATCCTGCTTATAAATACAACCTCTTAGTACCTGAATTCCCTCATGGACACTGGTCTGGAAAGAAAAGGACATTTTCCTGATTTGCTGCTCTCAAGAGATCAAGATGAAAGTGTGATGACTTTATTTTTCTTCCACATTCTCTGTCAACTCTCCTGCCTCCAGAGGTCATTAGCACACTTCCCCAACCACAAGTTAAAATTTAAATGGCACGGGTCAGCAGGTGGTGTAGAAATGAAGGTGGTGGATCTAACATGGCTAACTGCATGGTTTGAGTCCTCGACCTGGCAGCTTGAAAATCATGCTGGTCATATCTGCGAGTTTGTCCAAAATCCTTAGGAGACTGGAGAGGGAGAGAATGTAGGGTGACCATTCCACATAGGGAGAGATTTCTTACTTTCGCTTTCTTTCTCTTTCTCTCTGGTGAGTGCACTCAACATATAGTAAAACTAAAAACAATTAATAAATTATACAAGATAAAGTGACTGCATTAATGTTTTCTTAAAGGTAACTAGGTGAAATTAAAAGGGCATCAATGTTTTTACAGGAAACTAGTGACCCTGAATCAAACAACCATGACAAGAATTCAATATATTCACTCAGCCTTTGGTCACAAATTTCCAAGATAATCTTGAGCACAAAGGAAACATCTATTTTATCATAATGATATTTGTTCATTCATTGTCCCTTCAGCAGTTGTGGGAAAATTTAAAAGTGGGGTGGGGGTGATCATTCACTTTAAGCACTCCAAAGAGTTGCAATTACAGCCAGCACTGAAGGCTACCAGGAGAAACAGGAGGATATTTAATGAAACAGTGTAAAACACACAAATCCTTCATCTCAGTGAATAAACACTCTTCCATATGGACACTAAGTTTCCATACTTCAACAAGTAGATGAACAGGATGAACAAGAAATACTGTCATAGTTAATCCAATGTATGATAGAAATGTTCACTCCATCATATTTAAGGCTATCTTTGACTCTAAGGCCATATTGGTTCAACTATTTGTTTAAATTTGCCTTTCCATATACACAACATTTTGACTCAGGTAGCTGATAAAATATTTTTATTCATAATAGAATATTTTGCAGCACATAAGGAGAGAGATAAAGAGAGAGCCAGAGGGACACAGACATATATAGAGAGAATCACCCTCTACAGGGATGTGGGCATGCTGAGACTTCCATCCTTATTCTTTCAGTACTCCAGCTCCTGGACACACACCCAAGCAGGAAGATTTCAGACTGACTGGACTCAGGACTTGAGCCAGAAGCCCTTACATGGCTTCCAGCTCTGTTGTCTGGTATGCTATGGCTGCAACAATGAGTCTGGACCTGATCATGAATTTTTGACAGTGACTACAGTAGGCAATGTCAACCCTGAGCTGAATAACAGAGCAGAATTCTAATGAGCAAATTACAGTAATCAAACACACTAATATATGAGAGTCTACATTTATGACAGAAATACTGGAAGCAAGGACATACACATACATGAAAATCTGCACTTTCATATTTGTTTCTACTCTAACGTTAATGACATTAGTTGCCAAATGTAATTTTTTTGTTTGTTTGCTAGATTTATTTTTCTTGTCGTTCTCTTTTTCCATAGGCAGAATACAACCCGAAAAAGTTAGGCCCCTGCAGACCGCAGTGCTAGCCAGAATCCATCCAGGCATCTCCATCTCTACCTCTGTGAAGTCTCCCCAGCCATGACACTTGTCCTCCAGAACCCAGCGCTCGTTAGGTAGGCAATGTCTCTCTTTCCCATTTGTTCTTTTTTGTCTCTTCCAACTTTTTTTTTTTCTCTTTTTAAGAAAACTGTTTTCTATCCCCTTCCTTGTATCTTTCTCTTGCTAATTTGTCTCTTTTTCAATCAACTAGTACAGAATCCATACAGGCATCTCCACCTCTGCCTCTGCTGTCCCTCCTGGGTCCAGCTTTATGGCTGTGAAGGCCCCCCAGCCAGGGCAGCTCCCTTTAGGACCTAAGTGCTAGTCAGGTCAGCAAAGTCTCTCTCTCTCCCTCTTGTTCTCTGTCTCTTGCATTTTTTTTCTCTCCTAGGCCAGAATCCATCCAGGCATCTCCATCTCTGTCTCTGCTGTGTGCCAAGCACTTTTCGTTTTTAACCCTGCTTTATTTTCTGCGATGTATTTTTTCTTCTCTTTTTGTTGTAGTTCTTTTCTTCTTTTTCCATCACTCTTTCTTCCTATTTCTGTTTTCTACGTTCTTTTTCTTTTACCTTACTTTTCAATTACTGCTCAGCCCTTACCCACTGCCTAGAGAAGACTAGGTGCATAGTAGCTAAACATCTGAACATTCTGAGTTTTAGAGAATTGTTTGCCCCTCACTGTACCGGCTGTAAAATTAAGGAAACTCTTCTTAATAAACCTAGTTGCAATATTCTTCATGTTATTCCCACACTGGAGGACAGAGTAGAAGGGAGAAAATAGCACCAAATTATTTCACAGTGAGGAAAATACATGAACTCACAGTTACAGAATCCTTCTCCAGCAAATTAGACAAAAGTGAATACATTACCAAAATGGCAATCCTATCCAAATTAATCCATGTATTTAATGCAATCCCTATAAAGTTACAAGAGACATTTCTCACAGATCTAGAAAAGACGGTCATAGTATTTGTCTGGAATCATAAAAGACAACATATTTCAAAAAGAAAGGAAGAGCTGAAATTTCTATTTTAAAATGTTAATTCATTATTAAAAGAAAAAATCAAAATAATAAATATATACAGAACATAAAACAAAACAGTGACTTGAACTGAAATTAAGTAAAACATTAATAGACTCACAAACCTACTTAATTTGACAAGCCAGAAAATAGTTGTTAGTAAAAATTCTTCAATATTCCCTTTTTTTTTGAGAGAGGTTTTTTGCTATAGGGCGCATGCGCTTGCCAGACAGACAGAGAGAGACAGAGAGACAGAAAAGGAGAAATCACCCCCCAGGGGGGGTTGGTTACGCCGCAATCCCTTCTCCTCCATTCTCCTCTCAGGATCTTGGGCATGCACGCACATGCGCCCGGCGTGAGTTTTAAGCCGCCGGGTCCAGGACGCAAACTGCGGTCGACCACATGGGAGTCCAGCGACATAGCCATTACGCAAACTGCTGGTTCCCCTTCAGTATTCCCATTTTAACATGAGAATAAAATTTTTATGTGAATATCCAATGTGAAAAAAGAAACCGTGAAATGTATGTCTCATGAACTACAGTTGCAAGGTATGAATTATAAGAAACTCATTCATCTGGATCCTTCAAAAAAAAATATGCACAAATACACTCATTTCAGAAATTCCTTAACAGGCCTGAAAGTCATTGAACATCTCATCACAACTCTGATTCTGCTTTTCCTACTTCACAAACTGCAAATTTCCATGCACATGTTCTAATTTGACTGAAATCATTTTATTTCTCCCATTCCTTCTTCACTCTCATCCAACTGAATGTCTGCTCTCATCACTAAATAGTCCACTTAACCTGCAAGCTAAGTCTGACAGACACATGGCTTGTTAACATATTAAATAAATTAATGATGAATAAATTGATCAGACAAGTAACCAAACACATTAATATCTCAACTCCTGTTTGGTTGGTTTGGCTCTCTGGAGATCTCAGGTAGATGTCATTCATTCTCTCTGAATCAGTCCTGCAGAACCTACTGGACTCAGACTCACCTGGGTGGGTGACCCCAATAT